ACTGTTATATGTCTTTTCAGTGGTGCATTTAGTCCTTTCATGTTCAGGCTGATTATTGACATGTGAGAGTTTATCCCTGTCATGAGGATCTTATAAAGTTTTTTTCTTTAGGGGGTTGTTTGTTTTAACTTTTGTATCAATACATGTATGTGTTTTGATTTTTGCATTTGTGATGCATGCTGTGTTCTCTGTTTTCCTGCATTCTTGTGTGTTGTGTGTCTTTTATTTTCTTCCTTTTGCACTTAATACCTTCTTAAGTGTCTTTGGTAGAGCTGGTCTGGATGCAGCATAAACTCTTAGGGATTGTATGTCTGGGAAGGAGTTTAATTCTCCATCACTGATGAAGCTTAACTTAGCTGGGTAGGAAATTCTTGGTTGGAATTGTTTATCTTTGAGAAGTTTAAAGACGACTCCATTCTCTACTAGCCGGTAGTGTTTCTATAGATAATTCTGCTGCTATTCCAGTTGGCCTTCCTTGGTAGGTTAGTCTGACCTTTCTCTCTTGCTGACTTTCGGATTTTTTCTTTTATAGTAATACCTACTTTGTATAAGCTAATTACTGTGTGTCTAGGGGTTGGTCTTATCTGATGTCTTGCAGGGGTTCTCTGAATTTCTTGTGTTTGGATGGTCATGTCTCTGATGAGATGAGATGAGGGAAGTTTTCTCGGATGGCCTCACAGAATGTTTGTTCCAGGGTGTTCACTCTCTCCTTTTCTGCTTCAGGGATACTGGTCAAGCTTAAGTTCAGCCTCTTAATATAATTGCACATCTCTTGAAGTCTTGTTTCATCTTTTTAGGCTTCCTTTCAATGTTTCTAACAGATTGAGTTCCATATTTTAGTCTTTAAGCTATGAGATTCTTTCTTCTGCTTGGTTCATTCTGCTTCCCATGCTTGTTAGTTTATTATTTATTTCATTGCCAGTATTCTTTATGGCCAGCATCTCTGTAATTAATTATTTCATGTGTTTGTCTTGCCTTTCTTGGTTCTTATTTATCTTCTCCAGCCATTCTTTGTTCTCTGCATTTATGGTCTGAGACCAGTCAATCCGGGTGCTCTTTGTTGTTTGAGTTACGAAGTCTGTATTCCAGCACTATCCTTCTAGGGCTCTCGGGATAACTTGTGTTTTTTTCATTGAATTCTCTCTATTTGTGGTGGATTTTTCTTTTCTCTTTTGTTGCTCAGTAAGAGAGGGAATAGTTTTCACTTCTGATTGCTCAGTTCCCTATTCTTCCCTAGATAGAGCTTCCGTATTCTGTTTTGAAGTTGGGTTGGGGGTGGGGAGCTGTGCTGTCCTTTTGCAGTTTTGAGATTTCAAAAAGGTGTATGGGGAGGGGTGCTAAGATTCACAAGCTGCCTGCAGATTACAGTGTTCGCTGACTGGAGTGTGGGCTCTCCAGGACCCACTTCTCACCACCTCACAATATGTCCATGCAGTGGAAACATATGTATGTCCCCTAGGTACAGAATAGCATAAGGGAAAGGAAAAGAACTAAGAAAGAGAGAAGAGAAGGGAAGGGAAAGAAGTAGAGAAGGAAAAACAAACTAACAGACAAACAAATGAGTAAAAAAGAAGAAAAAGAAACTAAAACCAGCAATATGAGGACACTTTCACAATCATATATATCCTTATGTGGAAAAAGAATAAAACCATACGAGATACACACACACCCAGCAAAATATATCGAGAGAAAAGAGAAAAATAAAAGAAAAATTTAAAGAAGCTTTTAAAGTAATAATGAAAGAAAACAAAGCAAAACAAAAAACCTTTTGTAATCCTTGTGTGCCCTCTTGTGGCAATTAAGAAACTTTGGATTCCTTGTTGGCATGACCCAAGCACCCCTGCTTTTGGCTCGTTGCAGAGGGGAGGGGGCTCCAACCTCTAGATCTGTCCCCCTGCTCACTGTACATGCTGTCGGGGGAGGCTACGAATCACCTCCAACTGATCTGCTTGGGTTCAGTCCTCTCTGTATGTGGCAGTCAGGACACTCCCTGCCTGGGTCACACATCTCACAAATTGCTGAGGGAAGGAAGCTGAATCAGTTTAAAACTCAGCCTCAACCGTGCACTGTGGGCTGGATTCTTCGTCTCCAGTTGTACCACTGTCCTGCAAATGTTCCAGTGCGGGGTATGGGGCAACTGAATCTCCTCACTGGGCCTCTCCCTCTGGGGATACTGCACCCAGGGTGTACTCTCTGGGTTGACAGTGATCAACCTCCAAGAGGTGCTGAGTTCACCCCTCAGCCTCAGGGAGTAGCTCTGCTGTTCACATGGGCAGACCAACCATCTGTGTCCCCCTGGGTTTCAGGACAAAGGCAGGGGTGGCATCTTTGCATCTCTCCCGCTGGAGCTTGGGGACTAGTTCCTCCAATGTGTTTTCTCTGCCAGTGTTGGATCTGGTGCCAGAGGCCTGGCAAGTGGCCCCATGCAGCAGCTGTTTTTTGCCACTTTCTTTTGAGTAGGGTTGCAGAAATGGTGCCTCCCCTCTGAGCTGTGGATCACGCAGGAACCCCAGTGCCGCACTGGGGCAGCCACCTCAGCAGGAGAGCTTGTCAAGCTGCTTGTTCCTGTGTCCCCACTCAGACACTCCCACACTCACTTGCCCACACATGTGATACATATTGGTCTCTATGCACACTCATTTATCCGGAGATTCACACGCTGCAACCAATTCTGTCGCCGTCCTGGGATCGCCCCTTAGTATCAATCCCTCGTAGTACTTCTGTTACACCATTTTGTAGTAGAGGCATAATAGTAGTAATAATTGCTTATTAAGCATTTAGTCTATACTAGGAACGGTGCTAAGTGCTTTACTTGCTATTAGGTGCTATTACTGTTCCCTTTTTATAAATGGAGGAATTGATGCTAAGAAAAATGAAATAACTTGCCTGCGATTACCGACCACCATCAGAGCCTAGGGCCTCTGACTCCAGGTCCCAGGCTCTTGCTAACAGATTTCACCAATCCCCTACTGTTGGCATGCCGTTTGTTTCCAGTTTTTTCTATAACATGCACGTAGCAGGAGACATTTTTGCTCATGCAACTTTGCTTATTAAGTATTCAGTTATCTTTACAGGACAGCTCATTAAAATGCAAGGAATTTTAAAATATAACTTTGATTTTAATTATAATTTTAAAGGTCCTTTTGGATAGGTGCAAATAAAAGGAAAATTACTGTTGTCTAAAACCAAATTTCTAAGTTTATGTAATTTACCAATGAATGTTTAATCACTGAAAGGTGATTACCTTAATTTATAAATAGCTCTTAAACACCTACTCTGCTGTGTACAGCTCTAGGTGCTAGCAACAGTGAAGAGAACAAAAGAGATAACACCCTCTGCACTAGCAGAGCTTACGTGTCATTTGAAGAATCGGGCAGCAAACAGATACAAGGCTTAATGAGACGAATCAAATGAGGCAGCGTCTGTGTTGTGCTTAACACAGTGCCCAGGACATCATAATGGCATGTCTCCCTCCTCCTGTCCTCCAAGCCCCACTCAAACAGGCTGCCTTGGGAATTCCATGTCCGGCCTCACTTCCAGGCAGGCGTTCCCACCTGTCTTTCCACTGCTCACTGGCTGACTCTCCACCGTGTTCCTATAGAAGAGTTCACTCACTTGACTGCTTCCTTCGTGAGACCAGAACTTCTTAGTTGATATACCAGGCGTGGGTTACAAGTGTATCACAAGATAGCAGTGACTGGTAATGTGTAATGAAAAAAAACTGAAAAGCATTTTCAGCCATCAAAAAGTCTACAGAAATTGAAATGATATTTGACTATTCTTTGTATGACTAGATCCCTAATCAACTTTCTTTGTTAAGTCATCATCATTTTTTAAACATAATTTTTAGTAATTACACATAGGATTTTTATACCCAGCACCTGCCACCAGAGCATGTTCTATGAGGTCTCTCCTGGAGCTTTTTGCAAACCATCCTAATTACAGTCTGCATAGTTCTTCAGTCATTTAATTATGGTATCATCAGGGAAGTTCCACATTTTAAATATTTAGATTGCCTTTGGTTTAATTTGCTTTTATTTTCACTAGTTTTCAAACTAATTTAGATAAGGTATGGGATTTTTTTTAGTATTATTAGGTAATGGTTTTCATATAAAACATAATTTGTTAATTTTATCCATTTCTATTTGCTTTTTTACGATTGGTAGCAATGAGCAAAGTCTGATTCTTGGTGGAACTTCTTTTTGTGATTATATAGAGTAAAGAAAACATAATTAATTGTTCCCCCAGGCCCGCTATGAAAGCTCCTTCGGATCCCTCCGTTCTGCTCTCAATTTCAAGGCCCTTCAAATTCCCTCACGTTGAATATTTTTAAAAATCACCATTTTCTTTGTGGGCTGTGGTAGGAAAGTAGAAACCCTGCATCAGACTGTGACCCCCCCCCCCAAGGACAGGGACTGTGTCCCTCATCTCTGCGCCCAGGTCCTAAGACAGCCACCAACACAGAAAGGGCTCAGTACTTCACTATCGCTACTTTATATGCATACATTTATTTCTGGAATGAATTACTACAAATTATAAGGTGATAAGGGCCATAAGAGAATGACAAATAGAAATATAGGGAGTTGGTAAAAGAACAATGTTTATGGAATTCTTTCTGTGCTTTAGACACTGTATTCTGTTGTGTGCTTTAAATGTATTTTTTTTTAATCCTAAAAGTAATCACCTTATTAACAGACACCTTGTAGCAAAGCTGAATGCATAAAGTGCCTGACTTTATTTTGAGCCCATCACCAGACTGGCATACATAGCAGGGAGAAGGTGGTGGGTCCATTGATCTGGAACCTCTTAGAATGTGAGTCACCTCGGAGCCAAGGTGAACCTTTGCTTCCTGCACATAGAAAATGAAAGCTATTAATTACTCACAATCCAAGATGCCTCTTATCTAGAGAAGTTTTATACAAATGTACTCGACTTTCAAGATTACCTATTAAAAAAGAATTATTTCCTTATGATCATAGTGTTTTACATTTTAATTTTAGATTTCAAAACTCTTAGAAGAATTGAGGCAAGCCAAAGAAAACCATACACCAGAGATGAAACACTTTATGGACTTAGAAAAGAAGATCAAGCAGATGGAAATGAGACATGCACAACGAGAACAGGAACTTCAACAGGTAACATAGCAAATCGCAGATTTACACATTTGTCTAGTTCTTTGACGTGTCTTCAATTTGCTGTTGTTGTGTCGTTCCTAGCAAAAGTTACTTCCTGCAGTGTTTCCATTGAATTTTGACCTTGTTAATTTAAAAAATTCATTACTTTCAAGAAAAAATAAGACTTTAAATCTCAAATGCTTGAAGATTGGTTGGCTTTATATCTGGAAAAAAGAAAAAATGTTGTATCATGTTCTTAATTACTGATGAGTGCCTAAGAAGTTAAACATCTTAGTCCAGGAACAAGGCTTGGGAAGAGTGTTTCATGTTCAAGTCACTTCAATAAATATTTACAAGAAATAAATTTATCTTAAAATATGGTAATTTAAAATATTATTTACCTAGCACTAGTAATATGAGTACCACACTTAATTACAAATAGATACATCAACAGAAATTAAAAATAGGCGATGTAAGGACGTGATGTATTTTTAGGCACTTGCTTTGGTGCTGAAATTTAGCTTTGTGTTGATTACTTGAGCTGCCATAACAAAATATCACAGATCAGGTGGCTACAACAACAGAAGTTTTCTCATAGTTCTGTAGGTCAGAAGCAGCCCAAGATCAAGGTTCCGGTCATTTTGGCGAGGGCTCTCTTCCTGGCTTGCTGATGGCCACCTTCTGTCTTGTTCTCACAGGATCTTTCCTCAGTGCATGTTCACAGAGGAGGGGGAGAGAGGGTGAGATATCTCTTTGGTGTCTCTTCTTATGAGGACATTAATCCTTATTCTATCAAGGCCTACCCTTATAACCTCATTTAAGCTTAATTGTTCTCTTATTCCAAATGTAGCCACACTGAGGGTTAGAGCTTCAGCATATGCATCCATGGGGATACAGACATTCAGTCTATAACAAACAGTTATTATATACTCTTGGAAAACAGGAAATACAACATGTAGTGCTTTATGTTTGGCCTGAGTTTCCCAAAAAAACCCCAGGTTGGCCTACTCAGTATTATCCCAGTGTAGCTCTTTGAGATTGTCAAAGGTTCTTCACCTCTGCAACGAACTATAACAGCAATGTGGAATTTTTGTATTTGCAGATAATACTTCAGACACACCAAGTAGTAGAAACTGAGCAAAACAAAGAAACGGAGAAATGGAAACGACTCACACAGTTAAAAAACCGTGAGCTGGACAAGTTCCGCGCAGAGTTAGACTCCATCCTAGATGTTCTCCGAGAGCTGCACCGACAGGGGGTGGTTGTGCCGGCCGCTTTTGCAGATGAAGTGAATGCACCAGAGAGTTGCTAGAAGCTTGGATCTCACGTGACTTCACTGAAAAGCCTGAGGATGGATGGGACTGTGCCTCTGTCAGCAGGACAGCTTTTATCAGGTCTGTGTTCCAGTTTGTTTCTGGAAAGCAAGCAGCATTTCTAAATAAATTGCCCTCGCCAGTTAGGAAAGAAGGCATCGTGGTGTATTTTTCTGAAAGGCATTAACCATTCACGTGTTAAGTGATCTGGGGACAGGTTCATAACTAGTCAGAGATACCATAAAAGGTCTGGCTTTTGTATGCTAGAAACGGAAAGAAAAAAAAATTACACATACTGCGCCACATTATTATTGACCAAGTGTGTATTGTTAGTTTTCTCTGTGACAAACTCAGCTCCTCCTTTGAGGACTGTGAGCACAGCAGCACTGTCAGCTGAGCAGTAGAACTTTCTCAATAATTCAGACAAGACTTGTCATTTCTGTACCAGTGAATTCTCTTGTGTCAACCAGTTTTTCACTCTTCCCTGTTGGTGGAACTTTTTTGCACCTGAGATAAGGGGAAAATCCATTTCACAAGTACTAAGGGAATTTGTTCTAATCTTTTAAGCTGCAACTCTCTAATGTTAATCCTACTGTTTTGTAACCTTAAGGTTATTAGCAGAATAAAAAAGCCTTTTTATGTTTTTATTTAAAAAGTAATGTAGGTCCATTAGAAAAAATTCTAAATATGCATAAAAGAATCTGGGTTTAAAAGAATCTGGGTTGTTATTTTGCAATTCCCGTTTCCAAAAGCAGATCGCAAATATATAAGATAGTGGTAATTCCGAGTTCTAGCCCCTTTGTTTTCAAATGTTCTAGCCAAGCAATGTCTAACAGAAGTATAGGGTGATCCACATATGTAATTTTTAGTGTCCCGGTAGTCTCATTTAAAAAGGCCAAAAGAGCTGGGCACAGTGGTCTGCATCTATAATCCTAGCTACTCAAAAAGAGTTTGAGATGGGAGGATTTCTTGAGCCCAAGAGTTTGAGGCTGCAGTGAGCTATGATTACACCACTGTACTCCAGCCTGGTGACAGAGCATTTATATATTATGCCTAAAATGTTAGCAGTATCAATATAAATATTGAGTTTTTGCATTTTTCCATACTAAGTCTTCAAAATGCAGTTTATGTTTACAGCACATCCCAGTTTGCTGAATAACCACATGCCAATATGTGTAATCCTAGGATAATAATTACAAAGTAAAAGACTTTATACAAGGGCAGGTGAACTAGATCTTGGTGAAACTACAGGCAGCAAATGTGAGATGTGGAAGTTGTTACATGTGAGAAATGCAGTTATTGTCTTAATGTTCAGCATTTTTTAACGTAACTTTCCTGAGAGGATAGTAAAAGTATGATCGTTTGCTATTTTTTTATGTGAAAGAAATTTTAAGTTATAATAGAAACAGTTTATTTTGTTATTATCTGAAGGTGTTTTGTGTATTTTTTGTCTACAAGCTCATTAGTACACAGCTGCAGCATCCCCTCCTTTGTCCTCTTGACTGTCTGTCCATCTGTGGGTCATTCATTCCAAACACGAACATGACTGGTTCTACAACGCAGGGATGTGCAGACATCAAATAACACAGAAAAGGTGCATCTATTTTGATGAGGATTTTATATTGTTTTGGAATAAGCTGTGTACATGGCAGGTTGTTGTTCAGTTCTGTTCCTAGATTAAAGACCCCTAGGTATCAGAGCTATCAGTTACAACTTAAAGCCTCAGGAACCATACCTCGTTCCTTAATCATCACCCTTAGGGGCCAGAAGATGAACACACTTCTGTGTTTTGAATGGGAAGATTTCTGTAAAGATTTAAGTTCCAGAGTCAATCTTCTCCCATTGTGATTCTCAATTTTAGGTGTCCACTTCACAGAATTATGGGATACACAGATCACTGCACTGGTAAAGCATTATTTCTGGGTGTGTGTGTGATGTTGTTTCTGGAAAAGATTGGCATTTGAAATCAGTGGACTGATTTTAAAGACCCATCCTTACCCAGTGGGGGGGGCAGCTACCATCCATGTGTTTGAGGGCCCAGGCAGAACAAAAGAGCAGAGGAAAGGTGCTCTGTCTTCTGGAGCCAGAGTACCTATCTTGTTGCCCTTGAACATCAGAACCGCAGGCTCTCTGGGCTTCAGACTCCACGACTTGCACCAGTGGTCTTTGTAGGTGCTCAGGCTATTGGACTTGGATGCAGCCATGCCTTGGCTTCCATTTCTCCATCTTGCCGACTGCACATCAGGGGACTCCTCAGTCTCCAAGTGGTGTCAGCCAATTCCCATAATAAATCGCTTTTCATGCAATTAGCTGCCTGTGTACCTTTCTCTCTGTATCTTTTGGTCTGTTTCTCTGGATAACCCTAACTCATACAAATTTTTGTCACCAGGAGTGATTCTAAAAGAACAACATTCTTAGTGTAAGTTTCTTGAATTTGTTTTAGGGTTGCTAGAATTTGCTCTCTAATCTGATTGGACTCAAAATGCTAAGGCCTCTATTTCTGATCATACAGAGAGCACTGAGAGTCCGTGGGGTGAACTTCCTATAGAGATACACAAAACATCTGGATTGAATACTCCTGATCAACCACTTGTAAGAGGCATATAACTTGGTGACCCTGTATACGATACTTTCATACATTTGTGCAAAACTGTTTGAAATAAATATAATTACATTAGTTTGTTGCTTTCATCACTTTGCTGGGCAAAATAGTGAAAGGAAAGGATGAGCTCAAGATTCGAATATTCAGACATAAATGATACAAGAGCTTCTAGGTGTGCCCTGAGGTAGAATCTCATCTAGCCACAGGGCTGCAATTGCTGAAAAACACGAGACCTCCTCATGCGATTGGCTGAATTACAGCAAACCCAGCCTCACAGGGTGTCTGCTATTAAAGTAAGAATGTAGAATGATAGCAACAACAACAAAAATACGTAGGTGCTAATTTGACCATAAAAGCGAAAAGTATATACTGAAAACATTAAAATGTTGATCAAAAACATTAAAAACACATAAATGGAGAGAGATCCCATGTTCACAAATGAGAAGAATATTGTTAAAATGTCCATACTACCCATAGTGATCTACAGATTCAGTGAAATAGCTATTGAGATCTCAGTGACATTTTTCACAGAAATAGGGGAAAAAATCCTAAAAGTATGGAACCACAGAAGACCCTAAATGACTAAAGCAGTCTTGAGCACAAAGAACAAAGGGTAAGACATCACACTACCTGACATCAAAACATACCACAAGGGTATAGTAATCAAAACAGCATAGTACTGTCATAAAAGTAGACAGTAACCAATAGGACAGGATACAGTGTTCAGAAATAAATCCGCAGTACTACAGACGATTGCTTTTCAATAAAGATGCCAAGAAAACACAGTGGGGAAAAACAATCTTCAATAAATGGTGCTGGGGAAAACTAGATACCCATATGCAGAAGAATGAAATTGGATGCTTTTCTCACACCATATGTAAAAATCAACTTGGATTAACGGCTTAAATATAAGACCTGAGACTGTAAGACAACTAAAAGAAAACGCAGGGGATGGACTGCAGTAGCATGTGCCTGTAACCACAGCTACTTGGAAGGCTTAGGCAGGAGGATCACTTGAGTCCAGCAGTTCAAGGCCAGCCTGAGCAACACAGTAAGACTCTATCTCTAAAATTTTTTTTAAATTAAAACAGGAAAACTCCACAATATTGGTCTGGGTGATGATTTTATACATAGATACAATCCCCAAAGCACAGACAATGAAAGCAAAAATAGACAAATGGGATTGCATCAAACTAAAAAGCTTCATAACAAAGGAAACAACAAAATAAGAGAGAATTCACCCGGAATGGGAGAAAACACTTGCAAGTCATACGTCCAATAAGACTTTTATATATATATGCAATATATAAGAAACTCAACAGAAACAACTTGATTAAACACGGGACAAAAGATCTGGACGGAGACTTCTCAAAAGAAGACATTTGAATGTCCTGCAGGTTCATGAAAAGATGCTCAATATCACTAATCAGGGAAATGCAAATTAAAACCACAACTGGAATGACCTCCTAAAAAGATGAAAGATAGGTGTTGGCAGGGATGTAGAAGAAAGGGAACTCTTGTACACTCTTGTTTGGGTTGTAAATCAGTATAGCCACTGCAGAAAATGATTCCTCAAAAAATAAGAGAAAACTACCAAATGACCCAGCAACCTGTTCTGGGTTGATATCACAGGATATATTCAAAGGAATTAAAATCAATATGCGAAGAGTTATCTGCACTTCATTGCAGCATTATTCTCAATAGCCACAACATGGAATCTACCTAAGTGTATGTCAACAAACAAAGGGGTAAAGAAAATGCCATATACGTACACAACGGGATACTGTTCGGCATTCAAAAAGAAGAAAACTCTGACATTTGCAATCACATGGATGAAGCTGGAAGACATCAAGCTAAGTCAAATAAGCCGGCTCAGAAAGAAAAACGCTGCGTCATCTCAGTTATGAGAGGAGCCCGGAATTATCGTTTGGAGGGTGGGCCCCTTGGAGCATGGGCTTCCCCTACTAGGTACGTGTTCTAGAAGCCCATCGGTTTTTATCGGGAAGTTCTGAGAAGGCTGTGTCACTACTGACAGAAGCAGCACCCTGAGCTGTGACAAATGGGTGACTGGTGCTTCTGCCCTGACGATGCAGCTGCCCACACCACACTGAGCATGGAGCAGTTTTGGCCAAAGCAGCATGACCCCGAGGCCTCACCCGCCCCATCTCACCCCAAACGACTCTTTTGTCTCCCCAGATGAAAAGAGACCTCAAACAGAAACGTTTTGCTGGTGCGGAGGTAAAACAAAAAGCCGCAGAACCACTAGAAGGCGTCACAATTGACGAATTCAAAAACTGCTTTGATCTGTGGCGAAAGCATCTCAGTGGGTGTAGTGTGTCAAACGGAGAGCACTTTGAAGGTGACTGAAGCTTGAGCATGCAGGAACACAGTGTGAGGACAGTCACAGTGGCATCCATCACAAAGAAGACGGAGCACTGCTGCACCCATTTTGTCGGAGGTCCAGGAACGGGGCCATTCACTGTGGCATGCATCACACAGGAGGGACAAAATAAATAAATGAGGCATTGATCGGGAAGGAATAGGATCCTGTA